AAGAATAAATAAAAATATAAAGAAAATATTAATAATAAATATAATTAAAAATATTAATAATCTAAATTAATAATTGTGATACACATAATGATCATCTGCATGATAATATGTTAAATTTAATATATTAAATACATAATAATTATTTATATATTCAATATAAAATTGATCTTCTTAAAAATGTAATATAAAGCTAATCTATAATACAGATGACACAAAATAAAAATCTAAACTAAAAAGATCTAAAAGAAAGATAACTCAATCAAAATTATTACAATTAAATATATTTAATTTTTGTTTAAAATTTTTTGTTTTTTAATAATAATTATATTTATTTTGTCTTGATTTTATAAAATTTACTTATGTAATATATTTTTTAACTCTAAATATTAAATAATTCTTTATCTTTTTTATAAAAAGATTTTTTATAATATTCTCTTTTTATTTATTAAATAACTAATAATATTTGAATAAATATTAAACTCAAATATTTCTTTTATCTAATTAATAAGTTTTATATGATTAATACTAGAATTTTAATTTTTATATATGATAATTGCAAGTTATTACTTATTATTAAGAGTAATTTTCATATTTTTAAAAGTTATATAAAATATTAATAGTTTTAAAAAATATTAAAATTATATAAAATATCTTTAAAATAAAGTAAATAATTATAATCAATCTTATATATATTTTTAAGTATGTATTTCAAATTTTTTTTTGTTATTATCATTATTTTTTGAATAATTAATTAAATTAAATTTTTATATATTATTAATAAGAATAGATTAATATGTAAATAAATAAATAATTATTTAGAATGAATTATAAAAATCACAAATAATATTTTAATTAACTTGCTTTTAATTTTCAAGTTATCAAAATTTAATTAATTATAATCACAAGACTTATATATATAAAAAATATATATATATAGATAAAATCTATAACTAGTCAAAAAATAATATATATTTACAAAATATAAAATATATATTTATTTATAAGTATTTATAAGTCTTATAATAAAACTGAACATAATTATGCATTTGAAAAGATATTGTATTTAAAAAGATCTAATTATATATAAATATATAATAAATTTTTTAATTATTTTAATAATAAGTATTATATGCTATTTTTTATTTATTTTGATTTATATATATCAATCTTGTAATTTGATTGATTTGATTGATTTATTTCTTAAAAAATCATTATTTTTAAATTACATAATGCAAATTAAATATTTAATGAATATGTGATAAAACTAATTAAATGACTTATCTTGCTTTAAGAAGCTTTCAAAAATGGAAAATAATAAAAAATTTAATTATATTTGAATTAAAGTACTATTTGAAAAATCTTTAAAAGATTATTATATCACATTAATAACATTGATAATAAAATTTAATAATAATTTAATTATAATTTGCCATTATTTTATTATTAATAAAATTAACAAATTATTGAAAAATAATTATATTAATATTTTAAATACTAACTTATTAAACACAATCTGGAAAAGATATGGATTTTATCTTTTAACAAGATAATAAAGCAAAATCTTACACATTCCTACAATATATTACCAGAAATCCCAAAAACGAATCTGCCGCTTTGAATTTCAATATCTCAAAATCCAATAATTCAATTTAAATGAGAATACTCTATTAAATTTGTTCCGATTCCGTATTTAAATGAGATCATTGGATTTGAGACATTGAGTTTCAAAATGATAGTTTTATTTTTGTTATTTCAGATAATATATTGTGGGAATGTGTAATTTATTCCAATTAAAGGGATGGTTTTATAAAATGGTAATATCAAAGAAATTAGAAATTGTTAACTTATTTTAATTAGCAAATCACTCAAGTTTCTTTTTTTGTACTCGCCGATCCGGATCAAATAAATCCGGATATCTGAATTTGCCAAATCCGAATTGCACTACCTGTTCTAAAAGTTCTAGAATATGATTAACATCTCACCCCGAAAAAATTCAATTCTTTCATCATGGGTAAAAAGCCTTTTATCGATCGTAAGAACGCTAAGCACTACCAATTAGTACATAGGTCTCAACGTGATCCCCTTATCAATGATACGGAGGCTTCTTCGAGAGTTTTGCTAGAAGTTACATCGTCGAATTTACGGGTATTGGGGGGACTTCCTTATTTATTTATTTATTCATAATTAATACGTGAATAATATTTAAAATTAGCCATCTGGTTTAATGTATTTTTTTTAATATTATTTAAAGAATAAAATTATTGAGACCTCTGAAAACGTCAAACAGTCTGAGATAGAGAGGTACAATATCACCTGTTTTTAATCATAGAAAAAATAAATATTTTCAGCTTAATAATAATTTATTTTTTGAAAAAAAAGTCGTGTTGGCCAAGCGGCACTTTATGGGGTATATTTTGATGATACCGATTATGATTATACGCAACATTTAAGACCGATCGGCGTTAATCGCGATGCTGTGTTTATTGAATCTCCTTTGAGAAAAGAAAAAGGAAAAAAGAAAGGTTTAGAATTTGTGAAAAACGATGAAGATGATGATACGGTATATTATCGATTATATTGTGAATTTTTGATCCTGCTGAAATGATTATGATGAGTTATGATATTACGAGATTTATATATCCGTGATTTTACCATCCAAAAATTAATTTCCAATTGTTCCTTCTGAATTATTGAAGCAAAAATAAAGAAATCAAAATATTAATAGAATTTATTTAATAGTATTATATTATTGATAAGCATGTATTAAACAATACTATGTTTTTTTTAGCGGATATCGAGTTCTAAAAGGGATGAAAAGGTAGCAATTGAATTGCCACCTGAGGTTCTCCCGTCGAGGGAAGAGATCCCCGCTGAATATTTTGATCGATCGGCTATTCCGAATGGTATCTATAAATCAAATCGTATTTCATTTTGTTTCCTTTTAAAAGAAAAGTAATTGATATGATAACTCCTTTATTAAAGATATCCAAGGATTCCAGCCTGACATGGATCCTCGGCTTCGAGAAACGCTGGAAGCACTTGAAGACGTAGCATATATCCAAAATGATCTTGATGATGATTTTTTCGCTGCTTTAAATGCCGAAAACTTATCTGATGACGGAGAAGGGGAAGAAGATTTTTTTGAAGGTGAAGATGAAATATCGCCGGATTTGGAAAATTGGGAAAAAGAATTCAAGAGATTCCAGAGAATACAAAAATTGAAAGATATTGAGACTGGGGAAGAAGAAAATATTAAATCCGAAGATGATATAAGGTCACGAGCAACAGGATATTCGATGACAAGCTCGGCGATGTTTAGAAATGAGAAACTGACTTTGCTAGATGAACAATTTGCGAAGGTTTTTCTCGAAATCCTCATTATTTTTAATTTTCTTGATTGTCTGACTTTATTTTTTATTATAAAGTTTAGATTGAAGAAGAGTATATGAACGATGACGACAACGAAGATGATAATGATGATGACAATTCAGACATTTCACGCCGTCAAGATTTTGATCAAATTATGGAAGAGTTTCTTGACAAGTATGAGATAGTAGGTCACAAGATGGTTCCGAAATTAGAAGGTGATTCTATGGTTGATAAATTAGAGACAATTCGACGTGGGTTAGGACAAGTGAATATCGAGGATGGAACGCAAAAAAATATTGGTAAAGATAATGCATGGGTGGATGACGAAATTCTTGATATGTCGAAGGAAAGTAAACGTACAAGGGAGGCGTGGGATTGCGAGTCTATTTTGAGTAAATTTTCATCTTTTTATTAATTTATTTGTAAATGTTATTTAATTTTATGCACGATACTGATAATTCAATATTTTAGGCACTTATTCTAATTTGGAAAACCACCCGGCGATTATTCGTGACAATGAAATACCTCAATTTAAAGTCAGCACGGATCGAAAGACAGGAATGCCGATTATTGTCAAACGATGCAAAACGGAATACGATAAAACGACTTCATCTGAAAATATAATCGAAAAAAATACTGATGATGATGATGATGATTTTAGGTCTGACACGACTCTAGAATATCGGGAAAAAGGTGGTTTATAGTTCATGTGATAAATCTTTTTTATATTTATAAACAAACAAATAAATAAATGTCATTCTATTCGATATGAATAGTGAATTTAGGAATCGCGAGGCCACGCAACGAATCAAAAGAGAATAAGAAGAAAAGAAAAGAAGCGATTAAAATTGAGAGAAGGGTAAAAATATGATAGAATAATTATTTAATAATTTAATTATTTCTATTTTGTGTCTCTAATGCTCGATTACGATTAAATTACATTGTAAATTCTAGAACCGTCGTTCGGATAAAAAATCATTAAAACAAGCATTCGCTCAAGAGAAATCAAAACAAAACTATAATGCACAAATTCGACAAAAGAATTTTGTGGGTGCTATGCATTTGGAATGATTGGTTGCTATAATAGGCGTAAATTTTTTCGCCCGCTCAAGAATATACTCGAGTAATTGTGTTTTATTATTATCTCAAAATGAGATGAAATAAATAAATAAGTTATTTTTTTTGTGAATAACTTTCTAAATGAATAGGATTTATTTTTCCTTGTTTAACTCTTGCTTGATATTGTAATTAGATATCTAAACATAGAATGAAATGCATCAAAATTTAGTATAGAAGTGTATTAATTATTGATTTTCAATATTATAAAATTACCTTATCCCAATCCAATTTGTTTCGCGTTAACGGAAGTGCACGTCTCAAACTCTTGAATGTATTGTCTGAAAGATCCGCATAAGCTTCAATTAATGAAGCCTGAAATTCATTTTCTACTTTTCCAATTTGCTTTACATATGCGGCAGCTGCTAATGCATGATTCTAGACAACAAATCAATAAAAATTAAGTCACCAATCAATCAAATACATATTCCGTCAAGTCACCACAAGCACATACTTCGAAATTCGTATTTGCAGTTAACTCAAAATCCTTATTACAATTCAATTGAACGTTCCCGTCTTCATAATAGTGTACATTAACTATGACATTTCCTTTGATATCGCCCGAATCTGGTGAAATAAACCAAGTAGAACGCCATCGACCATTCCTCCAAATTCAAAAACATACTATTTAGCTTTTTGATACTGTCAAATCGAACGCTTCTCCAATATTAAAACTTACCAGTAATTATCAGGATTATACTTATTATCGACGATAACTATCGTCAGTTTTTGATCCTTGGAATAAACAGCTGAGACACCCTTTGGATAATGATCAATAACGTAATCCTCAACAGCTTTTTCTAGTGCAGCTCTACGTTTTATTATTATTCATTAATAAATGAAAAAGTTGAAAAACCATATACTATAAAAAACCAAAATTTTACCTTAATGGTTCAGTCTCTTCGTCTGGTTCGAGTGATTCGACGACGGTTGCTTCCTATATAGACAATTTTTTATATGATGAGCCTAAAGAATACTTCATGGATTGGGAATATCTATCGAATCTTACTGGCAGCATATGATCAACTCGAAAAATTTGACGTGACTTTGGATCAACGAAAAGACCATTCTCTGATTGTCCATATTTTGAAATGATTACCTAAATTCATAATCAAGCATTAAATAAACTATAAAACTTGAAAGAAAAACCGTATAGATCAAGTAAAAATACTTCATGCTCTTGTCCGGGCAGTTTCACTGTTATGTATTGTTTTGTATTATATTCTTCTAGAGCAGATAATATTCCTTCTTTAAAAGCGGCATCATCATTCATCAATGTTTGTAGATCTAAAGCACGATAATTTGTTATTGATATGCAAGAATTCATTCAATTTGTTAAGTTATTTATTATCCGCTATGAATTTTCCATGGGTATATTCGATATATTCATTAATTTAACCCACCAGTATATACGTCATTGATTTCGCCAGGCGGACTATCAAGCAAGAAACTGGTAACAATTTTAATTTTTTCTTCCAAACTCAATTCTTTTTCCATTTTGTTTTATTGAAAAATATGAATACCCCCAAAGGTGATAAAAGTTACCGATATTGTGCTACATATTGAGGAGCGGGATGCTGTAGAATCGGAATCCACTCAAATGGATTTGGGAGTTAAAATCTTAAATCGGTTAAATTTAAGTGGATTCTTATTTCTAATGGAATATGTCCACCCCTGTCATGAGCTACTGTATATTAATAGATCTACAAAACCAAATTTTCTTATGAAAAATTAAAAGCAAATAGAAAAAAAGAATGAAATTTTTTAGGTAAGCTATTTTTAAAAGTTATAAAATATTATTTTAAAATTTATTTAGAGTTAATATAAAAATAATTAAATAAATAAATATATATATTATGTATAATAATTAATTATAATAATTTAAATAGAACTGACCCCTCCCTCCTCTTCCCTCTCAATAATTACGTGATATATGTCTGTTCTCTAAAACTTTATATAATTATGACTCAAATAAAAATTTTGTATAATTATAATTTTGTATAATTATAATTTTAAATATTAACTTATATTTATTTATATTTTTAATTATAATAATTTTAAATAATTTAGATATTTATCAAATAATTTAAAACTAATATTAATATTATTTATATAAATTATAATAAATTTTCAGAATATAAATTTATAAGACTTTAAAAAATAATAGATATATTATATTATAAAAATTAAATAATATTATTTTAAATTTATAAATATTAAGCTTAGTAATAAAAGTTATTTTTTCTTTTATAATTAAATTTAATTATATTTATTAAAAATTACTTATTATATTTAAAAAAATTATTATGAATCAGATAATATTTTTAATATATTTACTAATATATAATAAAGAATATATATTTTTATTAATTATATTATTAAGTTTTTTATAATTTATATATAAATATAACTTGCTATTTTTCTTTTTAATTACTATTATTAATATATAAAAAGATTTAATTAAATTATTTTTAAATAATATTTATATTTCTTTTTTTATAAATTATTCATTTCTATAAGATATTTTATAAAAGTATTATTTTATTAACTTTAATTTTTCAGTATTTATAACTAAAAATATCTTTATTAAATTTATTCTTATTATTATTATTTTAAATAAATAGATTTAAGTAATCTTTTATAAAGTTATTTTAAAGTTTTATATAAAATTTATTTTTAATTTTTATCTTTTTATATTAATAATAAAATTCTTTTTTAATTAAAACTAAAATTCTATCTTAATTAATTTATTTTTTTATTTCTTTTTTATTATTTTTTATAAAGTTATTTTTTAATTTATTATATAATTAATTAATATATTTACTTGATATATTAAGTTATTTATTATTTTAAATTAAATATATAACTAAATTTAATTTGATTTTTATTTTAGATAATTAATTATTATTAATTATAATATAATATAATATTATTTTTATTATTATAATATTAATTAAAATAATTTTATTTTGTATTTTAATTAATAAATTACTAATTACTTCAAGTAATATTCTTTTTTTATTATTAATATTAATTATTAAAATATATAATAGTTTATTTATATTTTGTAAGTTTTTAATTATAGTTAGATATCTTTATGATTATATTTCTTTATAGTTATTTTTTTATAATTATCTTTTTTTTAAATTTTTTTAATTACTAATTAATTATAATTAAAAAACTTTTTTTATAATTATATTTTTTTTAATTACTTAATTTTATTTTTTTAAGTATAATAATTACAAAAAGATCTAATTATATAAAATAGAATGATAGTAATATTAAATAAATAATTAAGTAATTATATTATTTTTTTATAATTCTTATTAATTTTAATTTAGTATTTTTTATTTTTCTTTTTTTATCTCAATATTATTTTATTATTATTATTCTTCTTTTTAATTTCTTTTTTTTATTTAATCTTAATCTTTTATTCTTATTTATATAAGTTTTAAATAGAATTAAATTTAAAAAATTTTTAATTAATTTTATTTCTTAATTTTTTAAATTAATTTTTTAATTACTTATTATTATTTAAAATTAATTAAGATAATAATTAAAATAAGTTAATTTAAATTATTTATATATTATTATTTATTTTTATTAATATATTATTAATTATAAATATTATATTATTTTAAATTAATAAAATATTATTATTTATAAATAAATAATTTTTTTATATAATTAAACTAATCAAAATAATAATAAATAATATTTTGTTATAATTTATTATATTAATTATTTTTATTAAAAATTATTTTTATTATTTCTTTTTATTATTAATTTAAAAATTAATTATTAATTATAATAATTATTTAATAAAAATTTATTATAATGCTATTTAATTTATTTATTTAATTATTTACTAATATTAATAAAAATTTATTTATAAAATTTAATATTACTTTTTTATCTTGATATATTATTTTTATTTTATTAAATATAATATTTTAAATTTAATTATTATAAGACTTAATTATAAAATATAATTTAGATAAGAAATTATTAATAAATCTTTTAATTTTTTGAATATTAAAAATTATTTATCTTTATTTTTTTATATTTATATATAAATTAATATTTTTATTTTATTTTTATTATCTTCTATTTAATTTAATATTTCAAATTTCTAAAAGTATTTTTAAATTTAAATACTTATAAAAAATAATATTTAAAATAATATTATTATTTCTAATTCAAATAATTATTTTATTATTATTATTATTATTATTATTATTTAATACTTAATTAATTATCTATTATAAAATTTTAAAATATATTAATATTATAACTATTTTTTTATTATTAATTATATTATTAATATTATATATTCTTATTAAACTTCTCTTAATAATTATATATTTATAATATTTATATTAATATATTATTATTATTTAATAATACTTATATTAATTATATTATAATTAATAAAGAATTTATTAATTTGCTATTTATTAATTAATAAATTAAAAGAATTAATTTAAATATAATTTTTAAATAATTTTTTCTTTTATATAAAAATTATTAATTTTTATTTTATTTCTTCTTTTTAAAAAATAATTTATTAAATATTATTATTAAAAAATTTAATTAATTATTTTATAAAATAATCTATTTTTTTTAAATAATTAAAATAAATTTTATAAGATATTATTATTCTTTAAAAATAAATTATTATTTATAAATTAGTGTAAAAAGATTTATATCTCAGTTTATAATTAATAAAAATTTTTTTATATATAAGTTTTTTATTTTTTTTATGAAATAAAACTAATATATATTAGAAAATATTATAATGTAAAAATTATATTAGAATTCATTATTATTATCAAAATTATCATTATTATCACTTTTTTTATCTAATAAAACTATATTTTTATTAGTCTTTCTATATTATTTTACTTTTATAAATACTCTTTTTTATAATTTAATCACTATATATAAATCTATTTCCTCTTTAAAAGTATATAGAAGTATATTTCTAATAGTTAATAAATTTGAATATGAATCAGATCTTGCTATCTTGTCTTTTATTACTATATATCCTTAATTAACTGAAGTTCATAATAATAAGAAGAAGTAAAAAAACTTGATAGTTATATTATCTAGCTATTTTAACAGAAGCAAATAGAATCTAATTCTTATTCTTTTTTACTAGTTCAAAAAGTTTAGATTTGTATAATTCATCTAAAAAAAATATATTAATCAGTAAGCTAATCAATTATTTCTTTTTTTTTATAACTGATATTGAGATATTCTTAATTTATCACTTATAGTAATATATATCATTCATATAAATATTTATTATATTATATTTTTTATTAATTATTTGATAAAGATTTTTAAAAAGATCTTTAAAAACTTTTGTATTAAAATTTTTATGATAACTAACTTGATTTGGAATAATATTTATATTTTTAATAATATTTAGAATATTATCTTATTTTTCAGCATTATCTTATTTTCATTTTCAAGTTTTTGAAAATTTAATTATAAGATTCTAAAGATAAATAAAATTTGAAATAAGCTTACTATATATCTTGTTGATAGAGCTATTTCAAAATATAATAATTATGCTAAAGATTACTAATAGTGAATCATATTCCTGTATCAAGATGATATTTTTTTGAAAAAGTCACATTTTAAGATATATATAATTTAAATAATAATATAACTCATCAAGAAAAACTTCTAAATGATATGAAATATTGTTTTTATCTTCTAGATTAGATATATAATAATAAATATAATGATAATGAAATATAATATTATTTGATGACTTATGAAGAATATTTTTATATTCTTTCTAGCTATAATAATAATCCAAGTAATATAATATTCAAATAAGTTACTATTTAAAAAATATATATTCATATTTAAAAAAACTATTATAAAATTAGAGTTAAAATTTATTTACCAGTTTATTATTTTTAATAATATAATTTCATAAAAGAATTTTGATCTTCTTATTTGATTATAATGTAACCTTTCTAGTTACGTGATATAATATATCTAGATAATTCACAAAGAAGAATCGGATATAGTATTATATCAGGAAAATTCACACAGAAGATTCAAG